TGTTTTAAGAATTTCGTTCGCGATGTAAGCGACGCGCGACGTCAAGGCGACGTAGACCCGACGAAATCCATAATTGCGGATACGCGTAAACTAGAAGGAAATAGTGCATTCGGATCCACAATTATGGACCAAGAAAAGTTTCAAACCGTCAAATTCGTACGCGGTGAAGGAAAGGCCATGATGGAGACAAACGAACCCACTTTTAAGAAATTATCTACACTTTTCGACGAGGAAGAGCTTTTCGAAATTGAAAAAAGTAAGAAAAAATTAAAATTGAATTTACCTATTCAGATCGGCTACTTCATCTTGCAGTATGCAAAACTACACATGTTACAATTCTATTATGATTTCATGGATAGATTTGTTGACCGTGCAGACTTTGAATACTGCGAGATGGACACCGACTCTGCTTACATGGCCATTTCGGGACCCACCTTTGAGTCTGTGATTAAACCTGAACTGCAACAGATTTACGATCACAGTCTCAAAGGTCACTGTGTCGACAGTTTAGAGATCGAGGCGGACTGCGATCGGCATTGGTTTCCTCGCACTTGTTGCGAGAGACACGCAAAGTTCGATCGTAGAACGCCTGGTCTCTTCAAAATTGAATTTGAAGGTGACGAAATGATAGGTTTATGTTCGAAAACTTACATCGTCTCTACGCGTACGCAGAAGAAACGTTCCAGTCAATTGATTGTAGCGCAGCGACTACTTAGACGCGCAAAGAAATGTAGGTTCAGAAAATTCCGAGTTATTAAACCACGTTTGGTGACGAACCTTAAGTTTTCTTGCAAGGGAATTTCAAAGAAAAGACTTAAAGCTCCTCTCGCCTTATTCAGAGATGTATTAAAAACTCAAAAAGTGGGTACTGGAACAAATATGGGATTCAAACTTAGAAACAACAGTGTGTATACGTATCGTCAAACAAGGAATGGTTTGACTTATTTTTACTGTAAGAGAAAAGTTTTAAATGACGGAGTTAGCACTGAACCATTAGATTTCGAGTTATGTCCTGTAAAAAGCAAAAAGGAATATGAAGGTGAAATAGATGACTTTGATCTCGAACTAGTACACATGCTCGCGGAAAGCGAGTAATTGATATTATTTGATGCATGACACTGTTGTTCGAAGAGATTGTAAATACTTTTTTTTCTTTTCTTTTTTTTTTTTTGTAAAGTTTGTGTTGGACTGGAAAGAGGGGGGTCCATAACGTCGCATCGTTTCATCTCTTGGATGTGATAATAAATGTTATCTAATATTTTCGCTTCTTCTGTAAAATCTGGAAATTATTTATGTACGTTGAATGATTGTTTATGTAGTTGACTTAAATGTGGTTAAAAAATATTACTCTAATTCATCGTTTATTTTGAAGTATCCGTGTTCAATATATACATCTACATGTATTTTTTTTCATTATTATTTCTCATGTATTTATACTGTTACCGAATTTTAACTCAAAATTCATTTATCGTATATATTTACATACGTATATACTTGTATACACAATAAATATTTTTGGTGTAATTAACGTTTTGTCATTTATCCCAAGACAAGGTCATAAGAAGGGTTCAGTATCTTTATATTCAAAAGCATTTTATTTAACATGGAGAGAACTTCCAGCTCGTCAACAGAGTCGTGGTGTTTAATGGGAAATAAAATTCCCAAATCTGAAATTGTCTACTTTTGTCAAATGATTGTGGTGTATATCATCATCATTACCTCAATTGTTAACTTATCTCTAAAGAACGGTTCCTCTGAACTGTGGATTTCCTTACTTAGCAGTGCAATAGGTTACATATTACCTAACCCCTCTTTAAAAACGGAAAAAATATAAGAAGGTTAATGATATTCGGATATAAGACTTAAATCTTCCAACATGTCTATTCCATTTCAACCGTGTTCGAGTATGTGTATAAGCGGTCAAACAGGAAGTGGTAAGACGCGATTTGTTTACCGCTTGTTGACTGATTTGAATGACATGTATGGTGGTGAGCCCCCTAAAAAAATTTTGTATTGTTACGGTATTCATCAACCTCTTTTTGACGATATGGAGCAGCGATTTTCTAACTTGAGATTACATCACGGGGTTCCCACAAACAAAGAAATAGAGGAACTGACCTCTGATCGACAACATACGCTAATTGTGCTGGACGATTTAATGCATCGAGTAGTCAGAGATGCCGACATGGAACTTTTGTTTACTCAAGGCTGTCACCACCGACGTCTCAGTGTAGTATTCATTACACAAAATTTATTTCCGAAAGGTTCAAAGTCAAGAACCATAGCTTTAAATACCTACTATTTGATACTGATGAAAAATGCCAGAGATGCATCGCAAATTTCAATGTTGGGTCGACATTTATATCCGGGATGTGCTAATCTCTTGGTGGAGGCGTACAAAGATGCAACTAAGCGTCCCTTCGGTTACCTGGTGGTGGACACGTCACCACGAGGCGACGATAAATTTAGACTCAGAACAGATATATTTCCGGGAGAGGACCCTACAGTATACACATGTTTATAAGAATAAATGTTGACCTTTGGTATAAGATATTTATGATGACTTCTGCTGTCAGACAACAGAGACATTTTTTAGAATTTTTGCTTCAGTCAAATTCCGCACAAAGAAAATTGATTTTAAGTTCCATCACCAGAGATCAATTAAACGTGTTGGGAGAAATAGCAGCAAACGTCATCCATAGTGTTATTTTACTGAATCCAGAAGAGAAAAAAGCTCTTAAAAAATACAAATCTTTTCTCCTCGTACTAGGCGACAAAAAGGCGGTTAAAAGAGTAAAAGGAGGTTACTTGAAAAGAAACCAGCTCGCCATCGCAACCTTGTTAAAAATCGTAAAACCTTTCCTGAAAAAATGGTGGACGTGATGCAGAAATCTGTGTTGATACCTTACGAGAAGTACAGCCGTCTCATGACACTCCAGGAGACACATCGCGCGAATTCCGAAGCAGACGCGGAGAGAGACGTGGCAGAAAATGTACCTGAAAACACGATAACCCTACCACACCCGGAGAAAACACAGAACCTTGACATGACAACTCAGACCGAATCCGAGGACTCGATAAAACCTGAAACAACATCAGCCAATTTATCTACGAAGGAATCAAAGGGTTCGCTAATCACAGAAAAGCCAGTGTTCAAAAAGACAATTGAAAATAAAAACATTAAAGCAAAATCTCGTTACAGACTTCAAACAACGTGGATTCGATTTTAATATGTGTACACTTTCTGAATTAATAAATATATTTCATTTGATTATATCAGAGTTGTTATTTATTTATTATACTTTTAAATCTCACTTATCAATTATCATTTTAATTTCTTTTAAAAGAGACCGTTTTCCAAAGGGAATACAAATTCCTTTTTATTTATCAATAATTATACAGTAATTATACAGTAATAATATTATAATATTATTCTTTAATACATGTAAGTTTTACAAATAAGATCTATAAATAAGATCCCGTTTGAGAACACACATCGGTATAATTATTCAGTATACATTAAGAAAGGATTCGTCGTTATCATATTTTTTTCAATAATAGTTTTATAAATAAACTATCGTCTGAATACATGAAACAAATTTATCAACACTATAAATGATTTAATCTAAGTTTCATGTCGTAGTATTAATCCTAATCATTGATTACGACTACCCCCTTCTCGGCGCTAATTACCTTCCTGTTTGCTACGTCACAATCCTCAATCGTACCGATCCTCAAAGTGGGCTATAATGTCCTGCTCTATACTACTAATATATTAATTTACTTATTTTAAAAATATTTTTTTATAATTAATTTCTTCTCATTTTCACATAAGATTAAGTACTCATATAAAGATACAAATGAAACCAAAATAAGTTTGAGGGTTTACCAAGAGAGAACAATATTTCTAACGGATTTTTGGCTGAAATATGTGATAAGATAGGAAGCTTTTAAAAGCTATCATAATTGTAGTTTGTTTTGTAAATTATATTTATTTAATGTATTTTAAAACTTTTGTTCTTTATTATCAAATTATTTGCATTTAAAATTTTCTTCAAGTCTTTGATTGTGTAAAAATTGTAACTAAATTAAATGTTCTAAAATAATCTTGTGAGCTATAAAATAAAAACCGAGATATTTTCATACGCCAACATTCCACCAAAAATATAGTCCCTGCTAGATTTCAAACTCAGTTTACCATTTCTACTCAAAGTGGTACAATTGTGATGAGGTAAGAAAAATATGATCTTTTTAATCTCTAACATCTAATTATATAAGACATATAAGCAAATATACTTTTGAACTTTTATCTGGTCAGAAACCAGACAAGAATCCTAATTTTGATGTGTTCTAATCAGCTTTTATCAGTTATTCAATTACTTATTCATTAAGTAATATTCAATTAAGTAATATTCAATTACAAATGTATTAAGTAATTATATAAGTAAACATTATGACAGGTTTCGAAATAAGTGATGACCAGCTGGTTTGAGTCCAGTTAATATTTAATTTGGGCTAGTACATCTAGTACATGTGAGTGCATCTAGCCTTTTTGGTGGTTTTTTAAGCATAACAAAATTAATTCACGGTCGAGCAGGTTACGGTAAATTGACAGAATTAACGTTGTGTGTCCAAGTTCTGTCTTGTCTTGTTTTGAAAAGTTGTATTATTAAGTATCATAATATTAACATTAGAAAACTATTATGAATATGGTTTTAGTCCGGTCATTTTCTAAATTTACTGGACCAGTAGGACAGTAAAAGTACATGTAATTAGCTATGCAGTAAGAAAATTGAGCGATATAGCCCGAGTGACTTATTTAAAAGTGTATTTTAGTCGTATTTCATGCTGTTCATAAGAGACGTTTTCTCATTAAAAATCTTTTAATTTCGTCGTCAAAACACTAAAAGCAATGATAATTTTAAAACGCATTATTCTGACACATCATTCATTAAGCTACCAATACTTGTAGCAATGAATTACAATTACAAAATTCGTACCGATGTAGACACCGGTTTCAGAACCATTTAATCTTTCTCGGGTTATTCCACCATCTTCAAGAGCCATGTGAACTGCTTCCAGTACAAAATGTTGTTGCGGATCGACGAGTTCAGCCTCTTTGTCGCTAATCCCAAAGAATTTGTTGTCCCATTCATCGAAGCTAGATGAAAAAAGAAACACTCATAACATGTCAGCTGATCATAATATGTTGTAAACAAAGATAAGACGAGTAAATAAATAAGAATCAAACGTTTTGATTATTATATACGAGATTCTCTTCATTGTTGAAATAGGGCAAAGAGAATAAATAAAAACACGTACACTTTAAGTAACTTAGACAATCAGTATTGATAGATTTATTCAGGTAAATCCATAACTTGGATCTTACTTCCTTGCTATTGTTAATCTTGTATTGTATGACTTTTTATTCCTTATACATTATTTATATATTATTTATATTTATGTTAAATCATGTCATGATATCTCTCTCTTTAATTTTTGTCTCCATTTTTAGTAAATTTTTTTTTTTTTTTTTTTTGCTTTCGTTTCATCTTTGTTTTTTTTTCAATTATTGTTCCCATTATACCTGTCATTCAACAAGGGCAAACGTTCTTTATTCATATACATGTAGTAGACATATAATTTAAGGAAACGGATTAATATATAACTTGTCACAACCGAATCCTGTATGTATTATTTACTGCGTATATTTGATACCTAATTAAAATGAAAAAAAAAGTTTAAACTAAATTCATAATAAAGTGTGGTTTTATACATGTTCTTGAATTATTTGTTAAGGCAAAATATGTACTCAAGTTGACATCCAATGAATGACTGCCATACCTATCCCTTATCATGAACGATGACTGCGGTTGTCTGATTCATATGAGCATTTAGTTAAAAAAAGAAATTCCAAAAGGTAGATTAAATTCTATGCCATTTTTTTTTCAAAAAACATTTCATGGCGGGATTTCTCAATTGGGGAACAATATATTTCGTGGAAAGTTTTTAGTTATTTTTTGTTTTTTTTTTCTCTCTACTTTTTGTGTTTTTACAATACTGTTAGGCCTCAATTCAAACTTATTGAGCTGCATGCAGATTAATTTTATGTAAAGAAATGTTTTCTTATGCATGATCTCAAATGAAGAATTAATCTATTCTATTTAATTATTCGTTCTGTCATAATGTTTGTAACAAATTTGATAAAAAAATATATCAGTAAGTTCAGTAAAAAATTAAGAGCTTTCCATATCACTTGTTAATGATACACAACACAAACAAAAGTAATTGAGTGCATGGATTCATCTTTTTTGACTTATTTTAATGGAATTAAAAAAATCAAACCCTAAAATTTAAAGATATTGTAAGTTTTCTTGGTGCTAAGATATGCAGCTTTTTATCGTTTAGTATGTATTCTTATACAAAAAATTGATTAATTTTAAGATATTATTGCAGTGCAAAAGATCGCTTTGAATGCCACCAAAAATTATTATGACAAAAAAAAAATCCATTTAAAAATGTATATAGCTAAAAAAAAAAATTGAAGTAAACTTGTCAAAAATAAACCCAAGTCTTGTGAAACAGGGGCTCGTAACATAAAGCTTGCTAAGTTTTTGACTTAAGTAGGGTCGTAAGTACGGTTTAGGCATAATCTTAGGACCTGACTAAGTACTACTTAAGTATGTCTTAAACCGTAACATAAAACGAACTTAGCTAGGTCGTAGCTAAGTCAAACTTATGTTAAAAATATTTCATGTGAGTTAACCTACGCTTTTTGATTTTATATAGATATATTGCTAAAAATGACTCAGTTAGGGTTTTAATTAATCACATTAAAGTTGACGTCCTTACTTATCGGTTTAAGTTATGTTAGATTAGATTTCGTACTAAAATTACAATTATGTTATAAATTATTCAGAATGTTTGAAAACAAATACCGCGCGGTCAGAAATGGCGATTTGTGGTTCATTGTAAATGTTCACGACAATTGTTTTATCACCTGAGATGTTTTCAGTTTACCTTTTGTAACTCTTTTGTTTTGACTAATGTTCACTTAACCTGTTATTATAGCAGACAAGAAAAGATAATCGACCGCCTATCCACTTGAAATTGAAACTCTAAAAAGTTCAATACATTTTGAATCCCGTTATGTAGGCGATGCATGTCAAAAGCAAACTCTGCAGAAGTTTTATGATATACCCATTTGAAAGTTAATCAAGGATACAAAAAAGAATCAGGATATTTTTTCGTATGTCTCCACATATCAGCAATTCTCTCTCTCCAGTAAGCCCTGTCTAAATCCGCACTTATCGCGTTCTACATTTATTCTACTTTACATTTCACAAAATATAATAATATTACTGTTACTGTCATCATCCTTTTTCTTTTCTGTTTTTAACAAATTATTTCAACTCATATTTTCAAAGTGAACATACATATCCATGGTTTATTACTGTGTTCAATTTATTTCTATAACCGAGGTCCCACTAATTTCAGACGTATAATAATTAGATTTTGTATTTACATGTATGTTGCGTTGGGAGTGATATTGGAATCAGTGACCCCCCCCCCCCCCCCCCCCAACGAAAAACTAACATTCTTAAATCGGCGTCAAATAGAGATAATTATTTTCTATAATGCATAATATGAATAGAGGAATGTTTTAACATCGAAAATCAACATTAAATAATTCTAAATATATGTACAAGAAAGTTAAGATATACTTAAGTCACCTCTACCGGCCGCCTAAGTTTTGCTAAGATTGCCAAATCTTAGTACGCTTCTAGTTACGGTCTTAAGTTTTAGACTGTACTTAAGTCCTACTTAAGCACGGTCTTAGACTTAAGTAGCCTTTATGTTACGACCCCCAGGATCTTATCTTAATAAATCAAGGGATTAGAAATGTTTATACTATTGAGCAATTCCGAGAAAGAAATATTTAAGAAATCTCTTTTGAAAAGTATACCTTTTTACGAGTCCAGCCTTTCTGACGTAAGTTTTACGTGGACTGTCCGGATTGGGATCGTAAAACGCATCAACATTGAATCTGTCAGGGGGGATATCCTGGACGTGGTCTTCTCCATTTACAAGAACTCTCCAGAATTCTTCTATATTGTCAGCTCCAGGAAAAATACAGCCGATTCCAACGACAGCGATGGTTGTATCTTCCTCCATTGCTTATCCTATGAAATTCAAATCTGACATGACGACCTGAATTTTAGAAAAAAGCAAAAGCATGAATCATTTTCTTATTTTTTGTCGAGCGCTAGTTCCGGTATTTATAGAGATGACCACAACAAAGATTGTTGAAAGATATGATGTCACCACTGTCTGATTGGTCATTTAGACAAATGGAAGGGGTCTCCGCCTCCTGTTTCCATGAATTTTGCAAGAACATTTAATTTTTGGCAATATAACTCCAAAAAGGTAAAACACACAGCTAAAAATAAGTTATGTAAATTAGATAAAATTTCGAGAGATAAAAAAGTGATGCGCATGCTTTGTTACAGACAACCATCTAAACAGATAAAAAAATTTTCCTCGGCAACAAATCAATACACCTGGATTGATTCCGGAAGTTGAAGAAACGTGAATCTTTAATTTAAAGTTCTGGAATGAAAAATGGAAAAGTAAGTAATATTAAATATTCCTATTCATATTTGATTTTACAAAATTTTAATGGAATATGAAATTTCAAAAAAAAAAAATGATGACAGTTTACTACTTATCTTTATTATGTTGTTGAGTAGTAAAAACGATACAATATCCAATTTCTCTGGCTTGTTGAGGTACAAATAGTAAGCCATCTTTAAAATAATGTTTGCTTGCCCTCTCCTGACTCAGAGTAAAATCACCGTGTATATCCCAACATGCGGGGTGTATACTATGTTGTGCGCGGGGTGTATGCTTCCGAAGCGAGAAAAAGGGGGTCAATGTACGTTCTTTGTCCAGTTTCTCAACTTACGGATATTTTTCGCCAGAAAGCAAATGCCTACGGAAGGAAGCATTATCTAAGGAGTATATGGATACCTGTGAATCCACTGGACACCTTCTAGTTTTTTCAAACACCTCAACACAATTCCGAGGATCGGAGCAAGATTGGCGCTACACTGTGTTTATGATCAAATATCAGAACAAAGCTTTGCTTTATCGTCATTTTTATATTATTGTTAAATGCATTTATACAATAAAAACGTTTGTACAAATAGTCTGTAAATAAAACAGTTCGTATAAAAAGAAATTGACGAAAAATCAATGTTGTGTCCGGGGTGTATGCAACATGTTGTACGCGGGGTGTATACCCCATATTTTTCTTAGGATTGTGTAGTGCAAAGTATCAATGCCATGGAAATATTATATTTACACAGGTTTAAAAGTGACAGATAGTGTTGATAAAAGACCGTAATACTAATGCCGAACCAAAAAGTAATTTCCATAAGCTTACTGAAGTAAAAAACAAATGAACTAAATAAAAAAAAATAAAAAAAAACTATCATATTCAAACATAAAAGGCGCTAGATGTGCTAGGAGCGATTGTTATCTGACTAAATGCTACATTGTAGATGGGGCAATGATCTAAATCTACATATATTCTTAAGCATTTATGTCAGTGATGTAGAATCTTTTTTGAAGGGGGGGGGGATAACTGAAAAAAAAAAACCTTGACATAAGTTGACCTGCTATTTTAAAAAAAAAGGGGGGGGGGGTATCGAAACTCAAACTCCTATTTGTTGGGGTTGAAGGTCACATTTTTTTTCAGTTTCAATTTTCCTTCTTTTTTTTTTACATAAACATACTACATAACCATTTTTTACTATGATGCAAGGAAAAAAAAGGGTGGGGGGGGGAACTTGACTTTCATTTTCTGTAGTAAAAAGTTGTAACTGGAACAAAAAGGGGGTGATACTACGTGTCTGTCTGATACATGTATATTAATTTTCTTTCAATTTTTCGCAATATGACGACTCATTTTTCCTTATCTGAAAAGATTTCATATTTAAAATATCACAATAAACATGTAAAGCTGGCTATAAAAATGCACATCTGTAATAAGGGACGACAATTTTCCGAGGGCATGCACAGTTGAAAAAAAAAACGGTTTTTGGTACATTTACAATTTTACGATGACGTGTAATTAATATCAATTATGTTCACCCTCCTCTAATTTATTATCATATATACACATAGTAAAGTTACCCCCCCTCCCCAAAAAAGGACCTTAGACACAAACAAACCCTCCTCGGGCCCATTCCTAGAAAGTATGTACTCAGTAAAATACCAATCGGAGTTCCACGGATGATTTGTACCTGAATGGAGCGTAGCGGAGTCAGCCGAGGATTGCCGATTGAATGGAGCGTAGCGGAGTCAGTCGAGGATTGCCGATTGAGTAAAATACAATGCCTCAAAATAAAACAAATAGCTAACTGCCATATATGGGCTCATGGCGGGGGCAGAGTACACAATAAATAAATACTACATGAACGAGAACATTTTTTTGGTGTTTATGTAATTACAAAAAGCTAAATATTTTCAAACTCATTTAAAAGGTATTGAAAAAGTTAAACAGAAATTACAAGGAAATGTTAGATGTTCAAACCTATGCATGTGTGAAGCATAAGAAAGGATCTGAATCAGGTGCCTTTAAATCGAAAGAAGGGATGAATTGTTGGTCATCACATTAACAGTTAAACAAAGTATCCTGTATATTTACTTCCATGTGCATGCAAAGCCAAAAGTACGATGAACGTGTTTCAATTTTATTTCCAGTAAATCGAATTCATGAACCTGAAGTTGTGCTATTACAAAACTGATGAATAATTAAAAAAATAAATAGAAGAAAAGTCAATTGTTAACAACTTTTTTAATGAAATTTAAGACAACGATTCTATGGAGTAAGAAGAGGGGTATACACCCCGCGTACAACATGTTGCATACACCCCGGACACAACATTGATTTTTCGTCAATTTCTTTTTATACGAACTGTTTTATTTACAGACTATTTGTACAAACGTTTTTATTGTATAAATGTATTTAACAAAAATATAAAAGTGACGATAAAGCAAAGCTTTCTTCTGATATTTGATCATAAACACAGTGTAGCGCCAATCTTGCTCCGATCCCCGGAATTGTGTTGAGGTGTTTGAAAAAACTAGAAGGTGTCCAGTGGATTCACAGGTATCCATATACTCCTTAGATAATGCTTCCTTCCGTAGGCATTTGCTTTCTGGCGAAAAATATCCGTAAGTTGAGAAACTGGACAAAGAACGTACATTGACCCCCTTTTTCTCGCTTCGGAAGCATACACCCCGCTCACAACATAGTATACACCCCGCATGTTGGGATATACACGGTGAAAATTATCGAGTCAAAAGGTAGGTTGGCAAATCTTTTTTTTCCCCCAAAATATGTCAACATATTTGTTGAAGGAATAAGATGAATAATGAGAGTCCTGAAATGTATAAAAAAAATGTTTTGAATCGGGCCATTTTTGCTAGTCGGTCGCGAGAGGGAAACCAAACGATTTTTTAAAGATGGCCTATAGGGGTCAATCTTTTCTTTTAATATCTTTTGTTAATAAATCATCATTTAGGAAATTAAATAATCTGAGTGTAACTTTACAAATTCTAGTATTTTCAAGGTAAATCAATGGTATTGAATAAACAATAAATCTTTATTTAATGGTGATAAAACTCTCAATCGTTTTTGTTTTATACTATGACATAAAAATTCAATCTCGTGATAAAAATATTATATTTCTATATTTGTTTTCATTGTGAAAAAAATGTTGAGTTTATGTCTACGTTTCCAAATGACTTTCGAGAATACTTCGGTTCCTGTCAAAGAAAATAGCGACAAGAAATGCTTCAGCAATTGCTATACAAAATATGAAGATCTTATGGAATCATTTTCTGAACGTCTTAGGAATTTTTTTAGCCATTATCCCATTACCATACTTATAATTTGCATTTTAGTAAATGGAGCTCTTATGTCTGGTTTCATATGGCTTAAATCGGAAAACGATGTTGAAGTTCTCTATACACCAGAAAGTAGTCAGTCATTCATGAATAGAGAATCTCTAAAACAGATTTACAGGGATCCTACTGGAGAAAATTTTCACCCTTATCAACTACCAGATTTTGGAAAGTATGCAGATTTAATCATCATTTCAAAGGATAGGACGAATTTGAACTTGTCCGTGTTGGCAGAAATGCGACAAATTGACCAGTATGTCAAAAATTCAATATTTGCTTTTGACTCTCATGGTCAGAGGATATATTTCAAAGATTTATGTGCAATTAACCTTGGGAAGTGTGCTGTATATGGCGACATTGTCCTATCCCTCGAATTTCAGCAGGATTTTTTGTCGGGAAAAGCTTCTATTCCATTATACAACGGGACACTTCTTTCATCCATATTCGCCGATGCAAAAAATAAAAATGGTAGACTGACTTCAACTTTTAATATAAAACTGCGCTATCATCTCCGCCAAGATAACATTTTGTCATTTAACAGGGAGAGCAAATTTATGAAAAAGATCAATCCATTGAAAACAAACTTAACAGACATTTCTTATGCAATATCTGAAACACTTGGAGAAGAGTTGAAAAAGAATACAAATGGGGACATTCAATTTTTCTCCCTTACATTAATTAACATTAATGTTGACATATGCTTGCATTGCTTCCTCGTCATCTTTTTTAACGTGCAACAATGTTGCAAATCGCATAATGCTCGGGTTAGCTGGTGCTCTCGCACCGATACTTTGGATAGGATCTGCACTTGGAACAGTCAGCGCCATTGAATACAGTTTTCAAGTATTGTTGGTGTGATGCCGTTTCTTGTTGTCGGTAATAATTTTCATTTCGAAAGCAACTTTTATAAAGAAGTTAATCTTCGATATAAAATCATGCGTTTTGATAAAATCAAAATATATGAGCGCAAATATGTAATAATGTAATAAAAGATATTGCTTTATATTACAGACCACGTTCAATGCACCATTGTGCAATTTAAACTTTTTTTTTCTCAGACACATATATATGTTCAATCAAATGAACGTATTTCTTATAGGTATTGGTATAGATGACATGTTCATATTGATGTCTGGCATTGTTTAAGCCCCAGCCCTCTGTGCTTCATCGATTGAGGAAAGGATGAGATATATGTTGAAGAAAAGTGGGATTGCCATAACAATAACCTCTATTACTGACTTACTGGCATTTGGTATTGGAGCAACATCCGTGTTTATCAGCATAAAAAAAACTTTTTTATTTTTAAATGCAATTTCATTTAATCACTCAACAACCTCTTACAATCTTTTAAAATATTACTAACCATTAAAAGACTTAATTTGAAAAAATGTTTTATTGTTTTATTTCAATTACCAATGAAAATAGAAAAAAAAATGAAAT